AGTTTTGTAATGCAAAACAAAATTTTTTTAATATTTTAACCTCTTGGGATCGTCTGGAATCGAATAGCGTTTTCTTTTCTCGAAATAATGTTGCATTTATTCTGCCCTACGCCAGGGATGTAAAGTTTTCGTGTTCCTTTCACAGCATCTTCACATGCATATTACGTGCTCTTTGTTTAAAATGTTGCACTCTGATAATGTTGCCATATAAGGTGACTGGAGCGATTGCAAAAAAAGTTTTGTTATTTTATTATTATTTATTTTACTTTTTTCTTTAATTTATGTGTTTTATTTTCTTTTGTTTTGACTTTATTTCATAATAATAATTTTATTATTAGTTAATTAAAATTTTCAGAGTTAAGTTTTATAAAAAACGTCAACAACAACTATCTGGAAACCACGCTCAAAAATGTAAAAGTTATAATTGAATGGATAAAAAAATGAAAACTCTACCGGCCGTGGGCCTTGAACCTAAGACCTTGCGGCTCTTTAATGCCCATAACCGTCTGTCATGGCAAAATTTTGATCAGATGAACTGTGCCGTTAACACGTATCTATGTATAAGACAGTTTTCACGTAGTTGTGAGTGCACTATATGTACAAATGTTAATAGGAATGTATATTCAACTAAAATAATCATATTATGGGTACTTAAAGGGAACAATTTTTGTATCTATGTATATGTAAATATACTCTTATGCTTTAAACGACTAAAATGGTTAAAAGCGGTATACATACATATATTTTTAAGGGAAATTGAATGCTGAAAATCTGGATTTTTTTATATGCTCGGTTTTAAGCTTGAGTAACTTTCGGAGTAGTTAATTTGTGGAAAAATTATAAGTACTTTTTTAAAGCCTTCAAAATTATATACATATCTCTCGTTCTAACTTAAAAACGACTTATGAAACTTCAAGAATGAAAATTTTATTTTTTTATTTTTTATCATGTGGGTAAGGCTTCCTCAATTGGGCGCCGAATTAAACAAGATTGATATTTTTCAATGATATTCAGGCAGCGCCGAGTTTTCTAGTCGAAAAGTACACTGTGTAAATTTTGTTGCAAAATTCCAAATAGTTTTTTAATCAACAATTGAAAATTTGGAATTTTTTTTTTCTTTCAAAGTAAGAGTCCGATTCAAAAGATTTTTTGGGTGCAGATTTAAGAAACATTAAACTATATAATAAAATTATTTGCGCTACAAAATTATTTTTGTTTTTTTTTTTGCTTTTCAATAATATTTTTATTAACAATTGAACATTTAACAATTTTTGCGCCTCGTGGACGAAATTTTTTAACAACAACTTATGTAATAAACATTTCTGCATTTATCTATGAAAAAAATTCGTGCATTTCGATATAGTTTGGTCGAACTGAATTTGTATTTGCCAGCGTGCGCGCCCAACTTCCTTCCTTCTACGCAGGTTCGATCCCTGCTGAAGTCTAGAAAAAAGAAGTCTGATGAGGAGATGTGGTGATCTTCGAAATAGCTGCTATAAGTTCTACCGCTTAGACTTTGTTGCTTTTTCAATTTTTCCTAATAAACAATCGTGGTACGAAGCTCAATAAAAATATTAAAAATAAAATGTTAATAAGCCACAATACATTGACAAACATAGGGAGATAGTTTTGTTCAAATGTGAGTTCTGCGCATGCCGAGGTTTTGTAAGTAGTAGTATCTGTGAATACCCAGCTAGAAAAATTGCCAGATATTTGTCAGATATCCGTTAGACTCGGCGGCAAAAAAGTCGGAAATCTTTATGATTTCTGACCAATATCGGCCAGAGAAACGTATAGAATTGACAGGAATTCTAACCGACGCGTCGTGGGAAATTCTGACTTAATTCTCGACAATCCTGATGGATATCTACTAACAGATGTCTGACCAAATAATCATGGGATAATAATAATAACTAGTATCGCCCAGTTGTCGAAATTCGACATCTTTTTTATACACTTTTGAATTTTACCTGTCACCAATACTAACTCCTTTATGCGAATTACTATTTTGAAGTCCACCAGCATAATTTATAGCGAATTTACATGTCAAACATATATCAATTCAGACTGTAAATAAGATTTTCGATTATACTTGCCTGAAAGCCTCATGGAGGTTAAAAACTAAATTGCCCAACATCTACATAAACTCTTACTTTTTTCATCAGAATCGTTAACGGTTGAGAAAGTATCTAGAAGGTTTACAACAAAAGATAATATTTCCTTCTCTAACGGCGCACACTGGTCCCAAATCAAGAAATTATGGAATTTTGTATAAAATGGCCTACCTTTTAAGAAAAAAAAATTTTATATGGAGAAAACCCCATTTTTAGAATTTTAAAGCGCACTCACCACGGATCCGAAATGCGGCTTCATATAAGTCTGCGACCATAAAAAATACACACACTTAAAAAAATTTAAGAGTAATATTATAATAAAAGGCATTATAGGTTAATTACAGTTCATAACACAATAAACTATAAATGTTGGCTATCTTTGGATCTGAATCCGGTGGAGATTCGTTTTACTTTGTATACGGATATTTCTCGTGGAGATTTTGAAATTTTCTTAACCGCTTAACTTTCTTCCGTCAGACACATATGTATGCATTTTAAAATATAGGTAGTTTATATGTAAGTCGGTATATCCTAAAATACACTAAGTATAATATATTCTATGGCCTTCAAATAGTTACACAGAATAAAAAAAAAATATACCAATCGCGCTTAGTTTCACAATTTGCTTGAAAAGGCGAGCAAATGCTTTTACCTGTCATTTTGAATTTTAAGTAAATCACTTTGATTCAACGAAGCAGAAAGGAAAAGGAAGAGATACTTCCTCTCAGGCAAGAAATATTGTTTCTGGTGCTCTACAAGGATCTGTACTTGGGCCGTTGTTGTTCAGTCTTTTTGTTAATGATGTGTTCTCTGTGTGTCGATACGTGAATATACATGCATATGCTGCGATATTCAACTGTACTTGTCTAGTCGTATTGGTCTGGTTGATGATTTGTGTTGTAAAATTAACGCCCTATTCACAACATGACAAAATTCATCGTATGACTATTGTCACAATTAGCGCCTAAAACAAAATGTATAAACATTGTTTCTCCTTGTCGCGTTCTCAGTAGGTCATAACAAAAACTGACAATTGTCATACGAAGTTAAAATAAATTTGCGGCATAGTATTAGGCGCAGTAGTAAAGGAATAGTCAGCCGCTGAGTTTTTCAGTGTGGGAATAGGGCTCCTTCGTATTGCCAATTAGTAATAGTGTAATCCATCTTGATGATATCCCTGAATTCTATATAGAAACTAGTGCCCTAACGGTTAATGAAAAAATTAAAAATTTGGTTTTATTATTAACTCCAAGCTGAGTCCTCGTGATCATGTTAATAATGTAATGACTAGTGCTAAGTTATGAAATTAAAAATAGGTTTTAATAACTCCAAGCTGATCTCGTATCATGTATAAATTAAGTCTTTGCTGTGTTACGTCGATTAAGGATTTCTGCATCTTATACACCACAAGGACGAAATTAGCAAACTATCTACGCTATAATACTCCGAAGTACGCACGATCGATCTCGTCCAAAAATGAACTTCTTATAATGTAATCGTATGTTATGGTTAAAAAATGAACACATTGATAATATCTCGCACGAGGAAGGACTAAGTCTAGACGACATCAAATTCTGCTTGTTCCTAGGAACACGTACTTGACTTCTTCCAGAATGTTCTTTGTTAACGCTGTGAGACTCTGGAATGCCATACCTGAATCTACCAAGGCTAAGCTGAATAGCGGAAACTGCAAAGTAATAATATACGATTACTTTAAAAGAATTTAAATCTTGGATGTGGTTGCAATTGTTCTATTTTTCACTTTTCTTTTTATTCTCCTTTCTCTACTTTTCCTCTTTCTTCTACTTATTCATTTCTTTTTCTTTAGCTTAAAATGTCTCCTAGCATTAATTCTAATTTAAGATTAAATGTAATAATTATGTAAATTTTTTTTTCTAAAGTATTAATTTGATATAAAACATAAATATTGTACATGTACCACGCTCGATGCACTATAAAAATACATTGTCTTAGATGTGCAATACATTGTTTTCTAATAATAATAATAATAATAATAATAATAATAATAATAATAATAATAATAAACCCTAAGATACCCAGTTTCAAAGAAATCTACCGATTTTCTAAATTTTTCGGCCGCCGTATTAGATCCACCATTTTGAATTTTTAGTAAGCGACTTCAGATTCGTAATCAGCGACCCAAAAATCCCTTAGATAAGAAGTGGTGTAAAAATCCATCAAAGGGTATTTGTTTAAATAGTTTCGACCAGCGAGATATGCGATCAGAACCACTGTGCAGCGTACATCCCATTGCTCGGACGGAGGTAGTTTCGCAACCGAATACACGTTTACATAGCAAGCCGCTTCTTCTAAGCATAACACCCGCTTCCAGCCGCACCTACTGGTGAAAATTAACTGCCATATTCCCACACCACTGACAAAACTCAGCGGCTGACTACTGCGCCTAATACTATGCCGCAAATTTATTTTAAGCTGTCGTATGACAATTGTCAGTTTTATTGTTATGACCTACTGAGTAAGTGACAACGGCGAAACAATGTTTATATTTTGTTTTAGGCGCAGTAATTGTGACAATAGTCATATGATGAATTTTGTCAGTGTTGTGGAAATAGGGCGTTACGTGACATCCTTAAAGTGGTAAATTTAACAATATTCAAAGTATATTCGACATGCAATTGTACAGGGGGAGATTCTGTAACCAGTTAGCGAAATTTTCTGATCGCTATCGCACTAGTTGAGGCAAGCACATTCCTATCATACGTCAACAATGGCGATAGTGATCCGAAAATTGTCGCTAACTGGTTACAGAAGCTCCCCCCAGGAGTATCATATAATCAAGCTAGTTTTTATCTATACCAATGGCTGAAGTGTGATCTGTAATTTTGCCATTCTTTTTTCAGAATTGTTGTATTTATCGAATACTGCTAAATACGAATGAAAGCTCAAGACAAAGCAGAGAAAGGCAGACAGAAGTTTGGTGGCATGAGTTTTCGATAATAATGTTTCAAGATTTGCCAGGAATGTTCGCTAAAATATATGGGAACACAGGTATATAAATATGTATGTGAAAGCGTTGCAACCGTGCACAGGAAGTTGTAAATAACGAGCTACATATAGAGAAAAGTTCAAATGTGTAACAAGTATTAAGAGGTGATGTATTTGACGAAAAGTTCAGTTAAGTTGTATAGCAAACTTTCGTCTTTTATTTAACAATCCAGTGAAAGAACCCTAAGGATAATTGAGGAGATCATCGATTAAATTAGTAAACTGTAACAGATTGTTTTCAATCGTGATTTTCTAATAAAAAAATTATTTTTAGACCTAATTATAAAATAGGGCCACAACGACCCACCATTCCATAGATATCCGGCGGCAATAATTGTTAAATCGCCAAAAAAAGCTAGAGGTCATATTTTTTTCTAACTTAGAGGGCCATACCTTTTAGGGATCCAACAAATCTATTCTCCAACGTTGGTATTAGTATGTGGAAGCTCAATTCCAATAGGATTTGACCACAATGTTTGCTGTATTCAAAAGAAATTGACCACCATGCAAAAATCCTCTAATTACTAACCTTAAACTCGAACTAAAGTATGCATATTGATTTACATTCTGGAACAGGGCACGCAGTAGATTATTTCCTTTGCAAAACTTTAAAACGATACAGCAGCTTTGTTGCTTTTTTATTACGATATGGAAAAAAACTATAACAGTGCATCCGTTATAACGTGAACTATTTTGAAAGGTGACAGGTAACAAGATCAACGGAAATAAGGTCAATTGACACCATTTCATATACTGGTGCGAAATAAAGTCAATTGACATTATTACCTTTTGAAAAGCGAAATAAAGCCAACAAAAATTCGGAAACAAAGTAAATGATGCTATTTCCTCATTCAAATGGAAATAGCGCCAACAATGCTTAAAGTACTATGTCGATTCAAATAAAAAAATTTTAATCTTGTATCGTACGTGAGATATGAATGATGTTACAATAAACATTGCCTCGAAAGTGTTGTTTCCATAGATGAAAGAGGTTATTGCGAAATCATCCGTGTGCTATTAATAAACACACAATCATGAACCGCCACCAATTGATTTTATTAAAATAATTAAACTTACGATTATAATAAAAACACGATGCGAAAAACCAAACCCAGAAAGAGCTAGAATCATATATGTAATACTCCTATATTGGCAGTAAGAGCTAGTACTGTCCGAAAAGACTATAGTACAGATATATCAATAAACACGTACGAAAGAATAGGAACACATACGTTTATAAATAAACATGTACACATATACAAAAACGGCACTCAAGTACACAACACATTGACAAAAACGGTACTAGACTGTCTCGCTTTGATTTCGGAATGCTTACACATTGAGAAGTTAGCTTACTGCCAATATAGAAGTATTACATATATGGCTAGAATACGAGAATTATTTGAAGAAAGAATGTAGAAATGATCAAGAACATTCAAAATATTTTTAGCTTCCACAAAAATAAAGCGAACACTATTAAATTTCAAACCGCCAAACCGCGTCGAGACCTGCCGCGCCGCGGCGCTGCGCAAATTTAATGTTTGAAAGAGCAATAATGTCAATGGATTTTATTTCGCTTTTGAAAAGGTAAATTTTCAATTGACTTTATTTCACACCAGTATGCGAAAAAGTGTAAATTGACATTATTTCCGTTGATCTTGTTACCTGTCACCATTTTGAAACGAATTCCTGCGCCCCCCCAACAAACTAAAGCTTGTATAAAAAAATCGTTTGACCAAATTTACTGGATTTATGCTCAAGTCATTGGGCTTTCTAAATTTATTTACTTACGTTGTAGGTTAGCCAATGTTGAAGGGTGTTCACGTAATCACGAGTTCACTGCAAATAACTTAGCCTTAACCAGATTCTCCCGCCTCTAAAGTTCCAAAACCTAACAACTGTATTTAGGTCAGCTATTGCCCAATTAATATTCACTGTTTAAGGACTTTTTACTGGAAAACAGAATCATACATTCACTGCTGACAAACAGCTCAGAAAGCACTATGATGAATCACCCGGAAACTTTACTAAAATCTCATCTCAACTTTTCCACTTTAACATTTGAGGTAGCAACGTTGCATATTCGCATTTCGTCTGCTTCTTCTATTGCTTGGTCAACTGATGACGGGCACAATACACTATGCCCAATAGCCCAATAGACTGGGTGGTGTATGCAATCGAATGGTTTTAATAAGGAAAAGCAGAACGTAGCTGTGTTACTTGAGTAATAACTGAAACTGATTTTCGAGTGGAAGGCATTCAATGCGCGTTTGGCGCCTGATTAGTTTCAAATTATCTTCGCCTTTTCTTTATAGGAAGTTTCATTTGAACTTTAATTGCGCTTTGCTTCGCGTTTCTAATTAAAGTTTTGTAATTACAATGACTGAGCGGGAACATTTTGCAGGCTAAAAATTTGTTCGTGCTGTAATGTTATCAATTCTAAAAATATATGTATACTTACATATGTACATACATATGTATGTACATATTTATGCATATGATTATGTTTNAAATTATCTTCGCCTTTTCTTTATAGGAAGTTTCATTTGAACTTTAATTGCGCTTTGCTTCGCGTTTCTAATTAAAGTTTTGTAATTACAATGACTGAGCGGGAACATTTTGCAGGCAAAAATTTGTTCTTGCTGTAATGTTATCAATTCTAAAAATATATGTATACTTACATATGTACATACATATGTATGTACATATTTATGCATATGATTATGTTAAGAAAACGATTTCCATTTAATAAAAATTTATTTCTCCCTATTTTAGTTTATACATACGCCTCATTATAGCAGAATTAGTGGACGCTCCAACTTAGATTCGAAAAATCTAGCAGATCCGAGCAAATATTTCGCCTGTTCACATCAATCATACAATTTCTCGCACTATGACAACCTGTTGGCATGTTTTACGATGGCGCGTTCTGCTTTCAGCCATAATATTACTAAACATGAGCTTCATCCACATGACCCAAGGTAAAAGCGAAAAACAAATTTTACATTATTCTCATTTGTGCGTTTGTATATATGTATGTAAATTGTAGTTACGAAAAATCGTTTGCTTTCCTTCTCTCCTCATANGTTGGCATGTTTTACGATGGCGCGTTCTGCTTTCAGCCATAATATTACTAGACATGAGCTTAATCCACATGACCCAAGGTAAAAGCGAAAAACAAATTTTACATTATTTTCATTTGTGCGTTTGTATATATGTATGTAAATTGTAGTTACGAAAAATCGTTTGCTTTCCTTCTCTCCTCATGTAGGTTTCCCATTTGTCTTCAACACTAATCGCAAACTCATAAATTGGACTGCTCCAGAGGATAACTGGGAAATAGAGTTAGCACCACGCAGCATTACACCACACGTAGAACTGAAAAAGTTTTCGCACCGCACCGATCCCAACCCTGGACAAAGCGATGAAGCGTTTCTGGAGCGATTGCGGCAGCTCAAGCGCAATGACACAATGGCGCGCATGCTTTGGTACGACACTACACCTGATGGCCTCAATTATCCGCCCTTCGTGGATAAGGCGCTGAAGCTTTTCAATCTTAAACAAGTGGCTTTCGAGATCGAGAATAGTGTAATGTCCAAAGTGTCTTGCACAGCTTGCAAAGCAGGGGCTGGCTTGCTGCAGCACTATATCCGCGCTGGCAAAACGGAGGCGGAGATCATTAAATTGATTTACGAATTTTGTGTTAATCTCAATATACAAAGCCCACGCGTTTGCGAGGGAGTGTCGACACTATTCGGTAGTGAAGTGATCTACGTCCTTCAGCGCGTCAATCTCGGGCCAGATGAGATTTGTAGTTTCGTTATTGGCGATGCTTGCGGCGACGTTTACAATCCATACCATGAGTGGGAGGTGATATTCCCGCCAGTACCGAAACCTCCGGCTGCAGAGCTGGGTGTGCCAAAAGAGGCGGCTCCATTTTTCAAAGTGCTACACATCTCAGACACACATTACGACCCACATTATGTGGAAGGTTCTAATGCCAACTGCAACGAGCCACTGTGTTGCCGACTGAGCAGCGGACGTCCGTCTAATCCAAATGACGCAGCTGGGAAATGGGGAGATTATCGTAAGTGCGATACGCCGAAGCGAACTGTGGATAATATGTTGGAACACATTGCGGACACGCACAAGGACATTGACTACATTCTGTGGACTGGTGATCTGCCGCCACACGATGTTTGGAATCAGACCAAAGAAGAGAACTTGGAGATCATCAAAGAAACAGTGCGTCAGATGACTGATAAGTTTCCGGGTGTGCCTATCTTCCCAGCGTTGGGCAATCATGAAAGTGCGCCGGTGAATAGCTTTCCGCCACCTTATGTGAACCAAGTGGATATCTCTATATCATGGCTTTATGATGAGTTGGATGTACAATGGCGTCGATGGCTGCCGCAAAGTGTCTCGCACACTGTGCGGCGTGGCGCGTTTTACTCAGTCCTGGTCCGACCAGGCTTCCGCATCATTTCTCTAAATATGAACTATTGCAACAACAAAAATTGGTGAGCTCTAAAGCGAGTTAATTCCCCTCTAACAAATCGGCCTTTCTTTTAATGTTGATTCTCAACTACTTATTTAATTTCCTTATTTTACAGGTGGCTACTGCTTAACTCTACGGATCCGGCAACTGAACTTCAATGGTTCATTTATGAGCTGCAAAGTGCTGAGTTCTCCAATGAAAAAGTGCACGTGATCGGTCACATACCACCAGGTCATCCAGATTGTTTAAAGGTGTGGTCGCGCAACTTTTATCGTATCATTTCACGATACGAAAGCACAATTACGGCACAATTCTATGGACACACACACTTTGATGAATTCGAAATGTTCTACGATCCACACGACCTAAGTGAGTAATTGTTTTCTAACGCTGACGAGATTTTACAGTTTGGTTATTATAGGTCATCCCACAAGTATCGCATATATTGGGCCATCGGTATCACCTTATTATGACCTCAACCCGGGTTACCGCATTTATTATGTGGACGGGGATCATGACACTACCACTCGTTTGGTTATAGATCACGAGTCTTGGATCATGAACTTAAAGGAAGCAAACCTTTACGATTACCCAATTTGGTATAAGTTGTATACTACTCGCGCGGTATATAATATGAAGGCTCTCAGGCCAGTGGATTGGAGTAATTTAATTGATGAGATGGCGAATAATCAGGAACTATTTGATTTATATTACAAGTAAGTTTAACCCTACAAGCCATACCCCACTGTGATAATTGTTATTTCGACAAATTTTATAACAAAATATATCGTTACTTCAATTTACTTAATTATTTAATTTACTAATATTTAATTTAAAATACATTTTGTTAGAAGTATTAAAATACAACTTTAATAAAAATTTTAAAGTTCTTGTACCAAACACAACGGAGTTGCATGCCACTTTTTAAAAAGCCCTACTTGTTTTTGATACTCTTGTTGTAAAGGCAGTGTCACACGATTGGGCATCTGCCCAAAATTTGGTGCAAATCGTACCCCAATCGTGCGAATAAACAAATATTTTACTTTATCCCAATCATGACCAAAATTTTTATAAATTTTCCAATAGAAGTGTTGTACCAATCGTGGTGACTACAATAAAAATTGTGATCCGATTTTTTTTTTACTTTGTACCAATAGCCCAATATAAAAACTGTACAAATCTGTACAAATATACCAATCGTGTGACACTACCTTAATGTTTTTGCTTCACCTATAAGTAGTTGTTTAAATATAGTAAAATGTTTTATTTATTATTATTAAGCGAGTACAACGACTCCATGGACAGGTCCACAACAGTCACCAAAATTATTTTTGATTCTTCTGTGGAAAGAATTTCTTTAAGTAATACTGGTGGTATTCTAAAAAATAATAAAATTCTAGACAAGATTGAGATTGGCTTATGTAATTAACACAGCTTTGGGGACTAACAACTGGGGCTAAGTTTTTCAGATGTTCAAAATTTATTCATTAGTTCAGATACTAGTGGCTATAGCTTCTGAAAATAGACAATTTTATATTTACATTTTGTAAAACATTTTTCTCTTTCTCAGAAATTACTGGAAGAACTCACCTATTCGGCCAGCATGCGATGCGGAGTGCCGGAAACGAATGCTTTGTGATTGCAAGAGCGGGCGGTCGCATGACAGACGACATTTCTGCCAAGACGTTGAGGCGAAAATAGATGATGGGTCGTCAAAATCATGGAAATCATGGCTCTACCGCGGATTGACCAGCTCGTACGTACATTTAGTTGCATGAAATTATATGTATGTAACTTGTTCAAGAGATTGTGAATGATTCGTCTGGTGTCGGTTTTTGTAGTTGGGATTGGTTTAAAGCGTTTATGTATGAAGTGAATTGGCATATAAGTAAAATTTTATGTCTGCAGATGCCATTAAAGTAATTAAAAGTATGGTATATGTTTTTCTTCTAACACTTTTTGTACTATGCGCATGATTCAATAATTAAAGGTTCGATAATCTGACAATTGTCTCGCTACCACCGCTGACTTAGCAACGAAACAGTTTTGTTTATCTTCAATTATACTGGAAAACAGTAGCTGCAATATATCTATTTATTTATGTGCAATATATCTATTTATATACACTGGGGTGTTTTGAACTACAAATTGGAGAGCGATATTCAAAGTGAGTCGAGGTTATATACAACAGGGGAAAATAAAAATTTATAGAAGACGCGTCTCTTACATACAGCCCATCTTAGCTTAAAGTNATACACTGGGGTGTTTTGAACTACAAATTGGAGAGCGATATTCAAAGTGAATCGAGGTTATATACAACAGGGGAAAATCAAAAATTTATAGAAGACGCGTCTCTTACATACAGCCCATCTTAGCTTAAAGGAACGGATTCTGACTAAATTAATAAAAACTATTTTACGTATTCATTTGATCTATACAACAGTATAGCAACAACAATTCTCCCTTTAGACGAAGTTTTTCTATAAAAACTTCTCACATTAATGTTGCAAAACTATAGATAGTTCCACCATCGATAGTTTTTGATAGTTTTAAAAAACTATTGAGTCCTCGATAGTCTACAAATAAATAAACCATCGATAGTACTATCGTATGTATTTAAATGGTTCCTAGAAAGAATTTTTTAACTGCCAAGAAATGCGTATTTATTTTTGTTATATGTATGTACATATAGAAACACATTGATGCAGAAATATTCCCAGAGCATCTAGAAGCATTTCTGCATCAAAAAGAAAATTTAAAAAAAAAAACGTTATTTTGGCGGGTAAAGACACTATGCAGGTCTTAAGAAAAGCAAAAACGGCATATAAAATGACGCACAAGATGGCCTAAGAAATTTTCTTGAGGCAGTACGCAGTTCTTAAGAAATTTGCTACGCTTTATATTATGGTTTTCTAAAGTTTTTTGTGTAAAAAGAGCACAAGGCGACCCCGGTTTGTAAGATAAATATATGGCGTTCCATTATTTCTTGAGGAAAGAGGGAGGCAACAGCCATATCGTATCAGGTGTCATAATTTCTTCGAAACACACGAAATAATGGCAATTTTTTCTTTACCGTTTTCTTGAAAGCTGCTTATTGGCCTTTGGTATTGAACAAGTATGTTGTGATAACGTTGGAAATTTGTTTAAATATTTCGTAGGCGAGAAGAGGGGCCCGGCCCATATTTATTACGGGGACCGGATTTTTTCTCTACGGCCCCGTGTATACATATGAATATAANGGAGGCAACAGCCATATCGTATCAGGTGTCATAATTTCTTCGAAACACACACGAAATAATGGCAATTTTTTCTTTACCGTTTTCTTGAAAGCTGCTTATTGGCCTTTGGTATTGAACAAGTATGTTGTGATAACGTCGTAGGCGAGAAGAGGGGCCCGGCCCATATTTATTACGGGGACCGGATTTTTTCTCTACGGCCCTGTGTATACATATGAATATACAGCACATTTATCTGACGAAAACATACTCTTTTTAATTCGATGTTTACATACAACTTATGGTAATTTTACTTTAGTTTTAAGACCTTTTGCTGTTTTAGTGCCGCTAAATAGCACATAAAATACCTAGATTCCTTATAATATATCAGGNACATACAACTTATGGTAATTTTACTTTAGTTTTAAGACCTTTTGCTGTTTTAGTGCCGCTAAATAGCACATAAAATACCTAGATTCCTTATTATTTCGTTTAAAATGTCGAATTAACTGCAAATATATCAGAATTTACCAACGGGATTTCGCTATTAATTGCCTACCCCGCGTACTTTTCTACTACAATTTTCGCACCGAGGAATTTTATTCAGTGCCCTTTCTCCGTCCTTTGTAAATGCAACCTTTTGTAAAGGAGTGCCGTAACGCGGTTGGCAATAATTATAGTTATATATAATTATCTATCCTTTTATTATTGAATCATGTACTATGCGCACAAATCGATAAAATATTGNAGCACATTTATCTGACGAAAACATACTCTTTTTAATTCGATGTTTACATACAACTTATGGTAATTTTACTTTAGTTTTAAGACCTTTTGCTGTTTTAGTGCCGCTAAATAGCACATAAAATACCTAGATTCCTTATTATTTCGTTTAAAATGTCGAATTAACTGCAAATATATCAGAATTTACCAACGGGATTTCGCTATTAATTGCCTACCCCGCGTACTTTTCTACTACAATTTTCGCACCGAGGAATTTTATTCAGTGCCCTTTCTCCGTCCTTTGTAAATGCAACCTTTTGTAAAGGAGTGCCGTAACGCGGTTGGCAATAATTATAGTTATATATAATTATCTATCCTTTTATTATTGAATCATGTACTATGCGCACAAATCGATAAAATATTGAAAAAAGTTAGTTTTAAAAAAGCGTGCGTAGTACTGTAGCTTCTGGTCTTTGTCTGCTACTAAACAAAGCTGTTGTTTGTTCTTCATTGAAAGTAGTATAATCAATCTGGGAGAATACAACACATACTACGAAAAGAAGACTTGTTGAAAACGTGGCAATCAGTTCAGAATAAAATATCCAAAATGTGCAATAGAGCGTCATCGGGTTATTATTGAAATTAGTAAAAAACCTAAAAATTTTCTCATCTTATCGCCAAGAGCTCTTTAGTGTATCAAATTAGTTATTTTATTATAGAGATAATCCGCATAAATAAAAAAAGTGTCTTTTGCGTATAACTATGGTGACCATATTTTAGAAACAAAAATACAGTACAAGTTTCATTATGTAAATGCAAAAGATGGGGCTTGTAGCCACATACATAGGTATGTGTAGCTGCTGCAACTGAAGTAAGGTCCATTCGTTTTTGTGGGGTTACAGTATTGTGACGAACGCTGGCCAAAAACACGTCCAAAAGCAAAATGAAAAGGGTGCTAATCACGAGGGCATTTCGCTCCAACCCAAGTAAAGCTCCTAATGCTCTCTCGGTCCTTCTTGAGACTAGCCTCAGTCTAGCCTGCTTTGATAACAAGTTTGCAAGAATCCCCGTTAGGAGCAAATTTTAAAGGGCAAACGCTATACACTAGACCTATTTCAATCTTCAGCGAGGGTTTTCAGCAAAATAATAAAGTCGACAGCAGTATCCATATGGTTAACCACTTCGAATCATAAACCTCCGTTTACTGAAGTACCGTTATGTCTTCTAAGCTAAATTAAGAGATACTAAAAAGTCTGCTCTGCTGTTATAGAATACTCCAACACCATCTACGAAGCTTCGATTTAATATCTATACTGCAACAATACCTCATCGAAGGCAGCAAGGAAGAATGGCTTTAAACGATTTTCCTACGCGATGCACAAAAACTACACTCTGGGGTTCCCGGGCACAAAATTATTCCTGGAAACAACATAGCGAACAAGCTGGTACGCAGGGGCACTAACGAACACTGTATAATGGGAATATTCATCACGCTTAGGGACACGATATCGAAGCGAAAGTATCGATATGGAACTCATTTAAAGTATCGCTGTAAAAATATCGGGTACTCATTAATATCGGAATAAAAATACTCGATGTCCCTAATATCGATACCAAAATTCAAAAAAAAAAATCTCTGAACAATGGAGTCGTATGTAGGCGTTGTGGTGTAGTGATTAGAAGTGCTTTGAAAAAAGGACAAAGTAGATTTCTCGAAAAACAAATAAAGTCAGAAGACATCATCATGAGAAAAAACACCTTCTTTTAAAATAAAGTACTGATGGTCACCGTACGTATGACGCCAGATACGCTCAATGATAAACTTAGGATCCAAGATGGCCGCCACCTTTCCCCCGCTATCTTCAGTGGATTCAAATACTTGAATACTAAAAAAAAACTATTAGTTCTGGAACAATGGCCATCGTTTTGATTTTGTAAAGGTTTATCTTCTCTAAAATACAGTATTTTTATCTTTTCATTAATGCAGTCGCAGTTAATGGTGTTGAGTTGGACGAAATTCGCTAGGTTTTCATTAATTTGAATAATATCTACCCTGGTCACTCTCGACAGAGAATTTTGAATGCTTTATGCTGGAAATGTTTCTAAACCAATTGGCACATTTTGAGCTGGTCTTGAGTTTTGTTTTTAAACCCAGATTGACTACACTTAAGTAAATTAATATGTGCTATCACTGATCTTTGCTTATTTTGTAGAGTTTCTGCCGTTACTACCACATATGCAGCTGTTTCGCGAGTACTAAATTAAATCACTCTGAAAATAGGAGTACAATTGCTTTAGATTATGTAATAACCAACTATGTAGAACATATGTATCGCTACTCAACTACACATACATATCTCCAAAGCACATATTCGGTTTTAAGGGCCGATTTCATAATGAAACACTTAAAGTTCCTTTTGCAAAAGAGTTCATTTAGTTAAAGTGACATTTAAATGTACTTTAAACAAGAAGTGTTTTCATAAATATGTCACCTAAAGCATCCTTTAAATTTTAAAATATTATTTATGAAATCGGCCCTAGGTATTCAAAATATTGGCCTGTTTGATTAGTATGAAAAATGCATATTCCATTTATTTTGTAAATGTATCATTTTCATTTAAACTTAACCCATTTTGCTAATAAACACAATGCTTCAATATTTTACCAAATGGTGTTTGGACCAACAAATTTGACACCACCCATTACACAATGCGGATATGCTATTAAATAACGGTAATCGGCAAACAAAACTTGCACTAATAACGAACACGAAACACCACTCCAGCGAGGAGAACACGGCAGAGGAAGCCACAACCACTGAGAAGTGGACGGTGCCGGAGGCGCTTTACATATTTACGCGCTAAGGAGTGTGGCGGCAATGTTTTACGTTCACAAACATACATTAAATTGCTGGATACCAGAAAGGTTTCTGGTTGCTTTGCTTGGAAATAAATGAGCAAAACTGTGAATACAACTATGTACATATATATAAATAAATACATGCAATTTATAAATACTCTTACTCTTGAACTATAAACATTTGAAATATATAATGGTACTAAATCCAATGAAATAAAATTTCTCTTACAAATATTCTTGAAATCCTTAACATTTAGTTATAGCCTCATCTCGTCCATCACGTACCTGCCCAAGTACCTGTTGGGCTTGGGTTGAGCTGAATCTATACTTAGCAGCTTACGAAAACACTCACATCCGATGTAAAAAATATCCTTTTCCATATAAAACATTGACAAAATCGAACTATCAGCGAGAAACGAGAGTGGATGCATTCTGAGTATCGAATACCTTGCGAATTTTGTCCAGTGAAAGTGCAAAAAGAAAACTCATCTACAAGCTACAATGAAATTAAGTCACTTAAAATCATTTAATGTACTAGATAGTATGCACATAAATACGTGTAGGGAAGTGTACATACTTACATATATATGTGCATTAATTATGTGATCATTAGGATTAAATTATTTACTTATATGTATGTATGTAAGTAAAACATGATTTTTAATATAATGATTTTTTGTTAATCGCTAGTTAAGTGTATTATTATTTAGCAAACGTACACACGCAGTCATAAAATAAGCAAAAGGCGATACAAGTTAACCACAATTGTTCGCACACCTGCAAATACACTCATACGATTAGTTACAACGCAAATTAAATGTTAATGTAAATGCATACGTAAAATAAGACACATTTTTATAGACAAAGCAAATAAATAAATCATTAAAGTAGAAATATCACGTTTTATTTACAAATTTGAGTAGAAACTCGTATTCATTTTTCCGTCGTACTGTACAAAAATACGAGCTTTTGATTGGTACTATCGTAGACACAAACCCTCTCATTAGTTTGGAAGCTAATGTGTTAGTACTGAAGCTAAACCACCCTACAAACCAAAATTCCCAAAAATTTCAATGAAATCTTCAATATGCAGGAACGGAAGTGTGCTCCGAATTCAGAAACGNACAAATTTGAGTAGAAACTCGTATTCATTTTTCCGTCGTACTGTACAAAAATACGAGCTTTTGATTGGTACTATCGTAGACACAAACCCTCTCATTAGTTTGGAAGCTAATGTGTTAGTACTGAAGCTAAACCACCCTACAAACCAAAATTCCCAAAAATTTCNACAAATTTGAGTAGAAACTCGTATTCATTTTTCCGTCGTACTGTACAAAACATACGAGCTTTTGATTGGTACTATCGTAGACACAAACCCTCTCATTAGTTTGGAAGCTAATGTGTTAGTACTGAAGCTAAACCACCCTGCAAACCAAAATTCCCAAAAAATTTTAATGAAATCTTCAATATGCAGGAACGGAAGTGTGCTCCGAATTCAGAAACGGTTTCTTCACGAATCTTCAAAGTAAATCCTATGAAGTGCTCGACACGAACTCATATTGAACTTTCTGTGCGATTTCTTAAAGCAAATTCTTAGAAAATTGTGAAAAAATCATTCACATCTAAGCATTACTTTCATTGCACTGCCGATTTTCTTCCGAAATTCCATAAAAGACATTTCAGCTTAGAGAATTCAGCAAAAATNGGTTTCTTCACGAATCTTCAAAGTAAATCCTATGAAGTGCTCGACACGAAATCATATTGAACTTTCTGTGCGATTCCTTAAAGCAAATTCTTAGAAAATTGTGAAAAAATTATTCACATCTAAGCATTACTTTCATTGCACTGCCGATTTTCTTCCGAAATTCCATAAAAGACATTTCAGCTTAGAAAATTCAGCAAAAACTCGGATAGGGAAATAATGATTTCTTTACAAAGTCTTTAAGTTTTATCTACCATCAGATCAGATATGGAAAAGTAGGGACAATAGTGCCATTTTTGGCACTTTCATTTTCAGAGGCACTATCATAAATTAAAGAAATTTAGCATAATATACCAATATATAACAAACTAACAAACAATCATATATTACATTGTAGGTTCGAAAAGTGAAAATTAAAATGATTTAAAATTAAAATAAGAGTCATTGTATGAAATTAATAAAAATTATTCAATGTAAAGAAAAATAATCAAAACTGGTCAAAATGACACACTGTTATTATTTTGCCAACAGGTATACATATGTATGTGTAAACATTTCCGAGTAGCTATACTATTTCAGTGTTTGCTCCCTCATAATTGGAATATCGTGTTAGGTTAGGTTAGAGTGGCTGGCCATTTGTTCTTTCCCTCCCTTAGTAATTCAACCACCGAGTGCGTTTTATATGGCACAAAAAGTGGAGAACGTTGAATTGGTTGCGCATGTTGGCCAGGGCGGGACAGTGGCAGAGATATTGTTCGATGGTCTCCACCTCTTCCTCGTCTCTGCAACTGCGACAGAAATCGTTGGTGGGGAATCCTAGCCTTTTTCTGTGTGTGCCCATCAGGCAGTGCCCGGTGATTATCCCGACAACTAATCTGAGAAAGGAGCGGTCCAACCGTGTGACAGCTATGGATCGCTTTACATCAATCTTTGGCCAAATTTGCCTTGTAGTATGGCAGGTGGTTTCCACAGCCCACCTCCTCAACGAGTTTCGCCTTTTATTATTATTATTACCTTCCTTTTATTAGCTCGGGATGTAACTATGTAATATTGATGCGCCTAAAAGATGCAGCGATTTCTATTCTCAAGTTACATACCTGATGACAGTACGAATGGAAATTATAATAGGGAGGTTTTAGTTTTTTAAACTATAATTTTATTATCTGTGTTTGCAGGAGGTTAGAGGTATGCCCGCATTCCGAGCAGAATTGACTACAGAAAATTCCGTCCCCCTCCTTGCCAGCTCGTCGGAGAGTCTTCCTGCATTCTATGGCTACTTTGAGCGTTGCTTCGCTAGAACTGAGAGATTTGATAGCAGCCTGGCTGTCAGAATAGATACAAATAGGCCGCCATGGAGGGGCGTAATATCGTGTTATTTTACTATGAATACAACAATGCGTCTATGAGAACTCTTCATCAAAATGATTTACTGTACGACATTTTCACTTCTGTTCTGGGCAACTGATGAAACCACGACTTTCTGAAAGTCAGGATTGTATGTATATAGAAAAGTAGTTCCTTAGTTTTTCCAGGTTGGCTATTTTAAGCTCTTTTTTTAATCTGAAGTTGGTGGTCGCAGTGTAACATTAGCTCTGATCCAATACTCCATGAACTTACAGGATTTTACACGAACTTGCAGGAAGTTACAGGAGTTACTCCAAAACCCCTCAAAATCATGTAAATGAGAGCGACTTTTGGAGAGTTTTGTAGAGAATGAAGTTGCAAGATTTTACCCGAACTTTTTCTTCTGGTAAAATTATGAAAAGTGTCAAGCCATCAACGGTTGACGTTTTTACAGGAATAATGGTTTTTTTGTTCCCGTACTTTTTGTTGTTACTCACTTTTTACTCTCACTTCACAGAGTAATTTCGCTGTTTGACAGTTTTATAGGATTTTTCACGAAAAGTATTGGATCAGAGCTATTACAAGTGATTAAACTACAAACATTTATACGTACAAAAGACCTTTTTGCGGACTAGTTTGCAATTTATTTTTAGTTAAGGTGCGCTTTAATGTAAAAAACATGGAAGGAATATGAAGGAAATGTGCAAACAATGTTTCTCAACAATATTTCTTCATGTTTATTTCTACCTTCTATTTTTGGTAAAACTAAACTGCAGTTTCAGATTCCTTGTGTACGAAAATCTCCATAAAGGCCTCCTAATACTATAATTATTTGCATTTTAATCAATTTTAATTATTTTAAGTGCTGCTCTGGGACTAAAATCGTCAATGTGGGAAAAGTGAGAAATTACTTTTCTATGTACACTCCAGACCAGTCCACGGAGTTTATAATTTTATTGGTAGATCTACAAATTTTTTATCTATATTTTATATTCTACCGTTTTTACCACCAAGGGCTAAAACTCTACCAATATTTTCCGGAAAGAAAGCAAAGAGATTTACATAAATGAATGCATTGTATACATATTTTGTCATTGAACACACTTGGAATAAAAATGCAAAGATACTCCGTCCATAAACAATTAAAAAATGAAATTACTTCTCTATCAGCTGCTTATGTACAGTCAGTCAATAAAGTTTAGGTACAGCGAATTTTTTACAATACGGGCAACTATTTTTTAAATATTTTATTTTTCGCTAATTTTTTTTTAAAATATGGTTAATTCTACAACAAAAACCCCAAAAAGAAAAGTTCCAAACCTTGTGCAAAATTAAAGAAAATTCTGCAAAATTGTATTCAAATATTGCACTTTTTATTTACGCTCTCTAGAAAAAATTTGGGTATGCAGTTTTTTAGCCCATTCAATTTTAGTGTAACAAAGTGCAAGTATGAGGAAGCTAGGACTTACCATTGATTTTTGGGAAATTTTTTTGTTGAAGGTGTCGCACATTTTTTCCATATATTCCATTATTATATATGGACAAAATGAGCGACACCTTCAACAAAAAAAATTCCTAAAAATCAATGGTAAGTCCTAGCCACCACAAACTTGCACTTTGTTATACTAAAATTGAATGGGCTAAAAAACTGCATACTCAACTTCTTTCTAGAGAGCGTAAATAAAAAGTGCAATATTTGAATGAAATTTTGCGGAATGTTCTTTAATTTTGCACAAGGTCCGGAACCCTGATTTTTGGGTTTTTTGTTGACCATATTTTTATAAAAAATTATCGAAAAATAAAATATTTAAAAAATAGTTGCCCGTATTGTAAAAAATTCGCTGTACCTAAACTTTATTGACTGACTGTAAATATTTTTCGTTTTCAATACATTTGTTTGGGTCATTGCCCAGATAATGGGTTGCAAACTTCAAGTACTTAATACAAAAAAATTGTAGTGGAGAGTAATTGTTTAAGCCTCCTATTAAATTAATCCACGGCCCGAATCACGGCATCCGTAATCGAATCGATTCGAAATTTCTTTCTAAGATTACGGCATTCGGTAGCGAGTTGCTTTTTTCAGTTTAAACTGTATTGGAGAGAAAACAGCTGTCATTTTTGACGGCTTGTTTTAACAATAAGAATGAGGCGAAAAGCTAGCTGCTCTGGTAACACCACCTTTTATGAATTCGCCTGCATTTATTCTATATGAGTAGAAACTATCTATTATTATCTGTTTTTAAATAATCTACCAACCTCCTGCCATTTTTAGTGCGGTTTTCTCAAGTAACGTGTAACTTTAAAGCATACTTTATATTTAATGCTTGAAATACAATACCGGCGAACGGCAAACTTCGCCGAATTGGGCGATGCTGTCGTTCACCGTTCGCCCAGCTATTTCGCCTACATAAACAGAATTAGAGCGGTAGCGAAAACAGCTGGTCCCATTTGGTCGCCTTTATAATTTGGGTGACCATATTTAGAAAAAACTAAACCATATTTAGAAATGAGGAAATGATAACAAATANAAATCGTGTTTAGGTTGTTTTCTTTTAAAACTTTGAAAGCAAAAAACAAATACGGCCACCTTTGGCACGCACAGCTGTCATCGCCCAGCAGGGCGATAGAAATAAATCTATCGCCATGAAACGCCGCCAAGCGAACTTCGTATTTCGCTTTGGCTGTGTTCAATTTCATATGCTTGCGGGTGTTCTAATTTTGACAGCGCGAATTTCGCTGTGGTGAGTTCGCCGTTCGCCGGCATTGTATTTCAGCTATATTAGCTAATATATAAATATATAATATATAAAATATAT